TATATATATGTATATAATTTATTTATTTATAGCATACATAGTTTTTTAAAAGGAAACAAAATCATATCAGTTTATAAAAAATAGTAAGTCCAGGTGTACCTCTTCCACGGTGGTGTCTGAAATGCCATAGCACCCAATGTTGAGGTCACTCATACCACTGTCCAGCTCTCTGAGGAGTGACAGATAGGCTCCTGAGACTTCAGTGCTAAATGGAGGAAGTACATAAACGAGTTCCCCACCAATATCCTCCTTGAGATAGGCTTCAGGGAGGTGTGATCGGATCATTGCTGTCACAGCCGTTGTGTCACATAGTGCATTGGCATTTAGATTTGGACTCTAGAGGTAAAAAGAGAAGTTAAACAACTGCTTTTCCTCATACTGCGGTGGCCAAGGACCCAAGTCATAGGGTGATGAGTTCTTTAGGCCACACTGAACCCAGGTCTGATCCCATCTCACTCCTCCAGTAGCTCTCTCTTCCACTCAGGGACCTGAAAGTGCTCTACAAGTTGCAGAGCCACCAGCTCCATTCTCCCACCCCACCCTGCCCCTTCTCTGACCTCATAAGCTACCACCTTCCCTCTTACTTGCTCTACTCTAGTGACACTGGTCTCTTATCTGTTGTGGAAGTACTCCAGGCTCAGAGCCTTAGCCAGTGTTGTCTCTTTGCCCCAGATTTCAACATGATCCATTCCCTCACCTCTTGGCTCAGCTGTTACTTTCTCAGAGATGCTTTCCTTGAGAGTCAACTTAGAATTGCATTGCCCAGCATCATTTCTGCTTTATTTCTGCCCATAGCAATAACTGCCTATTACTAGACTGAATGGAGTCCCTGGAAGGTGCTTCATTGTGATCGACACACTCAGCTGCTAACCAAATGGGGTTTGAGTCCAGTCAGAGGCACCTCAGAGAAAGCCTGGTGCACAAGGAAAGGGTAGCCACAGGGAGGAAGCCGGAGGTGAGATGTTGCACTGAGGGGAATGTAACCAGTGTCACAAAACAAAATACATATGAACTATTGAATGTAAAACAAATCTGCTTTGTAAAATTTCACCCCTGTGGAGCATAGTTCAACTTTGACACTCAGCAGGGTTGCCATTAGACAGAGTTGACTCAAAACAAATGTTTTTTTTTTTTTAATTTACTAAAGAAATTCCCTATTGATTTTATCACATGAGGTTTTTTTTTTATTCTCCATCAGAATATAACTGTCATGAGGCCAGCGATTATAATCTTATTAGTCACTGCTACATGTCCAGTGTCTAGAATAGTGCTTGGGCACATAGTAAGACATAGTAAACCCCTAATAAATATTTTTTTGAATTAACTAATGAACACAACAGTGAACCACTTTATGTATTTTAGAAGTCACATCAGGCTGATCAGCTATAAAATAAATGGGGGTAATCAAAATCTGCTTAACGGTATATAAATCGTACATCATATTTTTACATCATATGCCATTTTAGGTGGTACAGTGGTTTTTACTCAACATATTTGTCCTTCAAAAGATGTAACAACATTGTTGGCATGTTCAAGATAGTCTTCACACTATCATTTAAGGAATTCTGATCAGAAGTGAAGGCATAATTTCATATTCTCTTAATTTGCCAGAACATCCAATTTTTAACCTTATAGACAGAAATGTATGGAGACTCCATGGCTGATCTTTCACCTTAGGATACAAATGATAATTGCTCTATCACAGAGGTTCTTAACATCCTCAGACCAGCATCATCTAGGAACTGGTTAGACCTATAAATTCTGGAGCCTCACCCCAAGCCCAGTGAATCAGAGACTCTGAGGATGGGGTCCACAATCTGAGTTTTCACAAGCCCTCAGATTGCGCTGATGCTTGCTCAAGTTAGAGAGTCACTAACTAGCATAGTTATGAATTTCACCAATGGCTTTAGGAAGACATTGCCTCAGTTTTATATATAAAATTAACTTATGACCCCATAATGAGGTGTTATTTTCTCTTCTACAAACCTTCTTCTTGGTAAGTGTGAGGTGATATCCATCCCCAAAAGTCTCCTTGAGGTAGAATGGTGACCCACAGCACCGAAGTCCACCATGCTCTAGGAAGGCGATGCGGTCACTCAGGACTTCAGCCTCATCTAAGTGGTGTGTTGACAGAATGATTGTTCTGGCTTGAAAATACAGACAAAAACAACAAAGTATGAAAAATGAAGATACAGTTCCAAAATGCCTGCAATTAGCAAAGTATGTCCTGCCACAAAGTTTTATTAGTGGTGACCAGGAGTGGGAGCGAGGAGAAAGGGGGAGTCTTTACTTAAGAAGCCATGCATTCTGGGTTATGCAGGTGGGAAATTTGGCCAAGATTATTGGTGATGGTAAATGTTATAACTAAATTGTACATGTGCAAAACATTGAAATGGCAAATGTATAATACACATTTTTACAGTTTTTTAAAAATGCATATGTCTTGTCGTTTATAAGGAGAAGAGTAATGTTTTATGAGTTAACTGAAAACCAACTGACCAGAAGGAGCTTCCAAAATGATCAAAGAAGAAGGGTTCCCTGGTTCTGTGGGAACATTTTATACACAAGTTGACAACAAGCATTTATTATGCTGGATGGCTCAGTGTCCATCATTTGTAGTGTGGACACTGGCAACTCCTAGAAGTCTGTCAGAGTTTTGCATGCTTGGCTTCATTTCCTTCCTTCCCTCCCTTCCTTCTTTCCTTACTTTTTTTCTCTCCTCGCTATAAAAAAAATCAATAATTTTAAAAGACTTTTTGAATATTCCTCTCTGATTAATCCACTCCACTCTGATTGCTCCTTTGCCTCACATCCTGTTAGCACTTACTTAGTCTGTTTTCAGTTTATTTGCCTTTGTGTATGTTTGGTACCTCTAATTAGATTCTAAGCTCCTCAAGGTAGAATTTGAAACTTTTTTTGTTTCTTGCATTTGTAAGTTGTCTAAAAAGTCCTGTGAAGTGCTCAACTCACAGTGTGCACTCTATAGACATCAACTAATCGACCCAGAAATTTACCTGGGAGAAGACCTGGGAGGGGGAGAGTCGATCATAGATATTTAAAAGACACATAAAGAAAAAGACTTCCTCTTGCGGGTGTCTAGTCCAGAGGACAAAATTGTGATGATGGGGTGGAGGAGTTACAGAAAGCACTCATACCAGTTTTGTTCTTGGATATAACATCCCATATACTTCGGCGGGAACATGGGTCAACTCCAGTGGATGGCTCATCCAAAATGACCACCCTTGATCCACCAATAAGAGCTATGGATATGGATAGCTTCCTCTTCATTCCTCCTGACAATGTTCCAACTCTCTTATGACGATGGCTATACAGTCCAGTATCTTTTAAAGTCCTTTGAAAAATAATGTACGAAGTTTATAACTTACAGAAAGAATATTTGAACAGAGGGAAAATATAATAATTACCCTAAGTGACAGGTATTTACTAAGCAACTATAATGTGCTCAGCAAGGTACAAAGGACTATTGATGTTTCACAGACCTATAGTTTCCTACTATTTACTATGTAGTTGGAAATACAAAATTAATACCCAGGAGACTATGTAAGGGAAGATATACTTTATTATTTTATTCGCTCATTTGACAAACATTTGTAGAGTACCTGACTTCTTTGTGTCAGGCTTTATTTTAGGCACTGGGAGAAAGCAGTGAGCAGTTAATGCTTCTACCCACAGGAGATTATGTTCTAGTATGTGTGTGTATGGTGCAGGATGTAGGGGAAATTCAATCAATAAACATATTCCCAAGCAGGTTTATAATATGCCAGGTGGTGATAAGTACACTAAAGAATAGATAAAGCAGGATGCTTGAGATAAGAAGTGCCTAGAACGTGTTACTTTAGATACCTCTTTTATACATGGTGTTCATCTCAGAGAAGGTGATATTTGGGCAGAGACCTTAAAAGTAGAGGAGGAAGCCAAGGGGCTATCTGGGAAGAGCACTATAAGCAGAAGGAACAGTAAGTGAGAAGCCCTGAGGCTCAAGCAGGCCTAACAAAGGCAAGGATACCACCCAGACCAGAGTACTTAGATGGAGTGAATGAGGGAAAGAGTGGGAGGAAATGATATCAGAAGTGGGACTGAGGAGCAGGTCATGTGGGGCCTTGTAGGTCTTTATAAGGAAGGACATCCTGAATTTTCCACTGTGTGGAAGGAAGTCATTAGGTGGTCTTGAACTTAGGAGTCACAGGTCTGATCTGCAGTTTAAAAAAATTACCTTGGCTGCTTTTTTAAGGATAGATTGTATGAGAGGAGATTAGAGGTTGGGAATCTAGTAAGGGGGCTTGAACCAGTACAGCAGGCAAGCAGATTAGAAACAGAGGATTGAGGGCAATATGAGACAAAGAGACTTCAACAATTCCAATATACAAGAATGGCTGGTAAGAATATTGAAATTGAGAGTATGTAGTACCAGAGAGGTAGAAAAACTAAAAAGTGACAGTTTCATGATAAAACATTTCCTGCTGGTATTATTACCACAGCTTGACCGATCAAGCTATAGGTTTTCAAGAGGATTTGCCAACTCACGTTCTCGTTACTGTCATAGCTCACCTTTTTACTTCCTCGTGCAGCTGCTTCTTAGTCCAGTGAGGAACTTTGATGGAGCCATATAAGAGCAGGTGCTCCTTCGTGGTGAGGTAACTGAACAAGACATCGTGCTGCATGCAGACACCCATGTTCTTCCGTACTGTGTTTAGGTCTGTTTTGATGTCTTTTCCATAAACAAAGATGGTACCTGTGGAGGCCCCAAACAGCCCAGTCAACATTGAACTGGAAATAAAGAAAAGATAAAACAGGTATGAATCAAGCACTTCAGCTAGATTTTAAGACTAAATATATTTGGTTTGCTAGCAAATATTGTTACAGCATAGCTCCTCAGGAAAGGTCAAGTTATAAAATGAAATTGAATTGAAATAATTTTAATAATAAATTATTAGGACTAAATAAAATTTCTTTTGAGCTGATAACAATTTAGAATCACATGAACATACATAATGATAATGATTAACACGTGATGGTGGTGGGTAGTGGTAGTAATAATGACGGAAATGGTTGGGCTTTCTAATTCTAAGTATACTTTTCTAGATAATTTCCAGTCTTCTTTCAGATGGTTAGAAAATGGACAATTATTTAACATCTGTCTCCTCCACTATGAGGTAAGCTTCGAGAGGTCACTGAGAGGATGTTTTCTCACTACTCTCTCCCAGAGTGTAACTCAGTGCCTTGCACATAATAGGCCTTCAATAAACACTTGAGGATTAAATAGACAACCAATAGAATAGCCACATTCAAAACACAGTGAAATACAAATAACATATTTAGTTCTTCATATTAAATCTTTATGTACGCAAAAATAAAACAGTACTCTGTCAGCTAAAAGTCAAAACTTCAAAAGCCTTTCTTATCCCTTTTCTTCGTTGTCCTCTCATTATCCATTTGAAATATTGCCTTTTAAACACTAATCCTCACTAGAAAGTCAACTATAAATGTAAATAGGTCTTGTGAACAAGAGGGGCTGCATGTTCAGTCATTTCATAAACTTACTTTGTCTCCTTTAATTACAAATTAAAATAATAATCTGAATATGTCTTGGCAGTCACTGAGCTTAATCATGATGATACTAAATAGGATATGCAGCAACTGACATTTTGTTTTTCTCTCAAATAAGGGTTAGAGTAGCAACAGCATCTTAGAGCTGACTCTGCAGTTACGCTGATGTGGAACACCCATTTCTGAGACAGGAAAATACTAGTTAAGTGAGAAAGGAGCAAAACAACCATGTACTTGTCCTTGCCTTTTTGTTCCATGATAACTGGTGAATTCCTTTGACTCAAGGGAAGGGGTCATGGGGCAGCTGGGGACCAATGGGTTAATACCAGGGGATGCAAACTCAAGTTTATCCATGGACCAGGATAGAAATGAAACAGACAGGGCGCCTGAGGTTGTATAGACTGGCGGGGACTGGGCACAAACCAGAAAGCAGATGCCTCATTTAAGAGACCAGTTCCTAATAAGCTCCAGCCACTGGGTTCCATCTAGGATTCAGCGTTACCAGAAATTAATATTATTTAAAGGAGGCCAATTTTTTCTTTATTATAAAAAGAAAAAAAAAAAAACAACCTCCTTATTTAAAGATTTTAGAATTGAATCAAAATTTTTCAGATGTAATATGTAAGCCAACACTAGATGAATCAAATAAAACCTAGATTCTGGGTCTGGTATGGCCTTTGGTTTCACAGTTTGGGACCTCAGATTGAGACTACTCCATAGTAGTCCAGTTGAGCTGTCTTACTTCATCCAGGGTATAAAATAGCTTTATGTTTTATAAAAGAGCTAAAAAAATTGCATGAATGCAATAAGTAATATGCATCCATGGCAGTAAGTGTTGAAAAGTAACATACATGGTGGTGGTTTTCCCAGCTCCGTTGGGCCCCAGCAAGGATGTAATATGCCCCTCATAAAAGTTCAGATTGAGGTTATCAACAGCAACTTTTGAGCCATAGATCTTTGTGACTCCATGCAGGGCAACTCCAACTGTGAGATCTTTTGGTTCAGGCTCAATGTTGGAGGGAAGTATGTATTCAGGACCTAGAGAGAAATAGAGACCAGTTGTAAGCTCACAAATGGAGGTGATTCAGCATAGTTATATTTTTCTTAATTAAAAATTAAATACTATAAAAATTCAACCCTTTAAGTTAAAAATTTTGAGAGATAAATGATCAATTATAGTCACTGGTCCTCTTTCACTTGGTTATTAAATAAATAAGAGTGGAGGAACCACATTCTCTAACAGTTATATCACCCTTCTCTGTTGGAAAAATCAGCCTCAATTGGGTGTTGTTGTCACTGTTGTTATGTGCTGTCGAGTCAGACTCGACTCATAGCGACCCCTCGGGTTTCTGAGGCAGTATCACTATGGAAGTAGATTGCCCAACCTTCCTTCCGAGGAGTGGCTGGTGGGTTTGAACTGCCAGCCTTCTGGTTAGCAGTCAAATGCCTTAGGCACTATAGTACCACAATCATGAGATGTCCTTTATTCCACAGAGCTCACATACTCAAAATAACAACCTGAGGTTTGGTCCTCCCTCCATCTGGGCAGGATAATTTTGACTTATGAAATAAATGTCTTCAAGGAGTGATTGTACAGTGATAAGGCTCACTCTGTGGTTTATAGATTCCAGTTTATTAATTACTACCTACATCTCCTTCAGGCATCACACATGGATCACATAAATCGGTCATTCTTACCTCATAAAGATGACACTACTGACCCAAAAAAGGGCTTTGAATTATTTTTCCACTGTTGGTAATAGGTTATGCTAAATTATCCGTACTTGTTACTTGGTTACTCCTTGTGACTGGTGACAGATGGCTGGAGTTAGGGGTGTAGACTGTGGCCAAGGAACGAAATTTTTCACTGTGTGAATCTAACTGGACCACAAAGCGGTCTGCAATCTTGGCCTAATTAGTGCCATATGCTAACCAACTGAACTAATGAGCCCAGAAAAAGCCACAATTTAATCCCCATAAGAATCCAAACACATATGTGTAGACATAGCCATCCATGACTAAAAGGATGATAATTTTGCCATTTAGAAAAACTTAATTAAAATCACTAATCACGTAATTTTTATATCACTTCTCTCATAATAATGCATGTTGTTGACCTACTTGTCTTACTAGCAGATGGGTTGGTGTTCTGCATCATGATATTAGTAAACATAAGGCCATTGCTTTTTTCATGCTTCACCTCTGAACATCCAAATTGCTCCTTCCAATAGGAAGGGAGGATGGGAAAATACCATGGAACTGCCATACCATATGTCCCTGTAATAAAAATGTATTAAAAGGATTATTAATTAATTGCTAATATTAAGCACCGGAAGTTAGAAACGAATATACTATATATGGTTCAGGAAATACTTTACATTTTTTGATATACATATAAAACTGAAGAATGATCTTATTTCCCAAGGCAAAGTAAAAAAAGACAACTTTTCTTTTATACTTTAAAAAATATAGATTTATTAAGTTATAATTATATATCACAATACTTACCCACTGTAAATGTACATTTAAATGATTTTTAATAATTTAAAAAATCACACAATCCAGTTTTAGAACAGTTCTATAATTCCTAAAAGTTTTCTCAAGACCACGTGTAAATAACCTCCGCTCCTACTCTAAATCCCAACCAATCACTGATGTGCTTTCTGTCTCTCTATATTTGTCTTTTTCAGACATTTCATAAAAATTAAATGTCTTTTTATATTTCATATAAATGAATGTCTTTTATTCATTTTTACAGCATCAGAAAAATGTACAAATATAATAAAGCTTCATGGGAAAACACCCAAGTATATAAAAAAGGGTGATTACTTGAGACCTAAAAGAAGAAACTCAAATCACCCTCTTCCATTAAAATCTGGTTAATTCTGCTTGCAATTGGAGACTTGTTTTCACCTTATATTCCTATTTGGAAAGACTGGATTGATTTGACACCTTTCCATGCTTTCTAACTTACTCCATCTTTTAAAGGAGTATCAGAGAAGGAATTCAACAGTGAATTATCTCATCCTGTAAAATTTTGGTTATGTTCAGAGTCAAGTATTTCTTTTTAGATATTATACATTGCAAATCAAGTTCTAGAAAATATTTATTAGCCTATTTATAATGATTGCTGTTGTTGTTAGCTGCTAAGGAGTTAGCCCTCAACTTAAGGCAACCCCATGACCAACGAAATAAAATGCAGTGTGGTCCTGTGTCATCCCCATGGTGGGTTGTGATCATAACCAATGTGATCCATAGGATTTACATTGGTTGATTTTAAGAAGTAGATCAGTAGGCCTTTCTTCCTGGTCTACGTTAGTCTGGAAGCTCTACTGAAGTTTGTTCAGCATCATCAAACCAAAACCAAACTCACTGCCGTGGAGTTGATCCTGACTCATAGCGACCCCTCCTTCAGTTTCCAAGGCAGTATCTCTAGGGAAGTAGTTTGCTCAATCTTCCTTCAGAAGAGTGACTGGTCTCCAATGACAGATGAGTGAAGACTGCATGAGATGCATTGGCTGGGAATCAAACTCAAGTCTTACGCATGGAAGGAGAGAATGCTACCCCTGAACTACTATGCCCCTTATGTAATTACAACCACAAAAAGAAGAGATCTATAGGAAACATGTCCATACCTGGAAAAACATTCCTGACATACCAAGCAATAAGGAAATAAATGAACGAATCAGCTAGGATTAGGCAGCACAACCAGCCAAACGAGGTGGTATCATCCTGAACTGGGGAACTGTACATATTATCCCACTGAAGACCTAAAAAGTAAACACAGATAAGTGTTCTCCTGTGCAACATATTGCAGTGGTAAAAGATGAAAATGCAGTTTAAAGAAAGTGAACCTACCGATGCCCTGTTCCTCATACCGTGCAATGTATTGGCTTGCATAACTGAAGGCTGTTGGAGACAGCAAGCTCTGTGAAAATAATAAAGGGCAATGATAGTTCTTGTAGATTCCACACCTTTCATCCAGAGGGAACTTAAAATGTTGGACACTTGTACGGATAGACCTGACACTCACGCTCTTAAGTGTATTTAAAAATGGAGGTCCCTGACCAAATATGCTACATCTGAAAGAAGAGAAGAGGGAATAGAGGTGAAAACTTGCCAAACACAAAAGCGGGGTGATTATAACTTGGCAAACATTTGTCAAAACTCCAAAATATATAACTAAACTCATAAAATGTCACTCAGCAATTTAAATTAAAATCTCAGTGAAGACTTCAGGGGACAGGGGATGTTTTCACTTCATAGATCTATTTCAGACAAATAAGTACTATGAATAAAAGTATTATAATTGGTTGAATCTGAATATTTAAAGTTGTAACAAATTACAGATATGAATTTTGTTTAAACTCAAAGTAGTTGATCCTAGACTAGGAACAAAAGTCATTGCTAGGTGGAAGCTACTTTCTTAAACAGCAAAATTTTAATATGGCTCTCAGTTAAAAATGAGATTTGTTTCTATTTGCCAAATTTCAAAGCCAGTAATCATTAATTTCATTAAATTTCTAAATTAACTTAGTATTTTGAATTGAAAAGGCAGAAAGGAATTAACTTTTGATTATATGCTCTCAATACATTTGTCTTTATTCTTGGAATTTATATTGTATGTTATGAAAACCATGAGAATAATTCATATACAGGAATAATTCTAGGAATAGAGGCTTTAAGATGTTTAAGGAATTGGAAGAGAGAAGTTAGAATTTTTGATGGTCACTAAAACATGACCTATTCCATTTTAACTCATTTTCTTCAGGAACAATTTCTAAATAGCATCACATACTATGGTTTTAGAAACTGTATGGGAAAGGTTTCCTTCTAATACGGTCTTATACTTGTAGAGTGCACAGCAGTGTAGGAAAAAAAAAACTATCATTAGGATAGTGAAGCTTATTTTGCTACCATTGAACTATTAAATTCAGATAAGTGAAGTTTCAGTTTGAGAAGCTAAAAATAAAAGGTCCATTCAACACACACTGGCCATTCCAATAGTTGACTCACCATGAATACTTTCACTACATAGCTTAGCTCATTCTCAACTGTAATCAGAACAATAAATGGAAAAAAGGCAATGATGTAGATGAGGCTTCCGATGAGAGCTGCGATGTTAGTGTTGTTGAAGAAGACACTGATAAGATAGCTCATGGCAATAACTGAGAAGCTGTAGTCCGAAAAATACAGGAACAAAATAAACCCATTGGTTTTGGGAAGAATATTGCCAAACTTCAGTATAATGATGAGAATGATGATGGTAACCAATAAAAATCCAATACTCTCTATAAGCCAGGCAAAAAAGTGGCTGCAGGAATTCACACCCATCATCTTCATGTACTGGAAGAAAGAAGGTTCGTTAGCTGCTGCTTAAGATGACAGGCACCCAAACAGCAATTTTTTCTGCACCATGCTAAAATGTCCATAAGAGTCATCATATAAATTGGACAGAGCATTGTAATGCTTTACATGAATCAAATATTTGCCCATGCTTGCCAAGTTAAATCAATAGAACCCCTGTACTGAT